TCCAACAGGTTTATTTGAAATCACAAGCTTTCAGAGCATAGCCCCTTCGTCAGGTGCAGTGCACCTGACTGCACCTGACAAAGAGGATGCACTTTGAAAGCTTGTGATTTCAAATAAACCTGTTGGACTATAACCTGGTGTCATGTGACTTCTGACTTTGTAAGCCCCATATACAGCAGTGTCTCATACACCAACATCCTGTGTTACACCATGCTGTACTGTAACTCATTATTAAATCAGGCTTTTCAAACCCAGAACACTCCTCACTTCTTAACACAACAGGGTTGCAATTGTGGGTTATCAGCATTGAAGAGAGAACATATTGTTTCCCGCTCCAAATGGTTCTACGTTATTTCCACGCTCAGAAACAAACTGCTGTGGCACCAAAACTTTTCCAGATTCTTCCAATCCTCAGATCAATGGTGGGGGGGGGGGGTGGGGGACAGTGCAGAACCCCACCAGGGGAATGAAACTTCATCTTCAGGGGAATTATTATCTGTCCCACTATGGCCTTGGTGAAAGCATAGGCAGCACTGCACTTTTCTTCTGTGGTCCCCTGCACATTTCCATCCTGGTGTCATGAGCCAGGTCATGCCTGGGTACCTTATTGTCTCCCTCAAGCCATTTTTGTACAGCCCGAGGAGCTAGAAAAGGGGCTGGAACTTATGATTGCTCTGGCAGCTGAGAGTTGGTGGTTCAGACCCCCTTCAGAGGGGCTCAGGGAAATGTGATGTTACCAAATACACATTGGATAATTAATGTATCCAGCTTCTTTTGGAAGTAGGCTTCTGCCAATAGGCTCCCAAACCCATTTGCCAAACTCCCTTCCACATCACAGACCATGCCCTTGCAGGCTTACTTTTCCGAAAGAGAGTGTGGCAACTGCTATTCATTGAGTCATAGAATCAAACAGCATGGAAACAGATCCTTTGGTCCAACTCATCCGTACCGACCAGACCTTCCCATGTGACCTAGTTCCATTTGGTGCTCATTTGGCCCATATCGTTCTAAACCCTTCCTATTCATATACACATCCAGAGGCCTCTTAAATGTTGTAATTGTACCAGCCTCCTCCACTTCCTCTGGCAGCTCATTCCATACACACAACACCCTCTGCGTGAAAAAGTTGTCCTTCAGGTCTCTTTTAAATATTACCCCTCTCGCATGAAAGCTATGCTCTCTAGTTTTGGAATCCCCCACCCTAAGAAATAAGACTTGTCTATTTACCCCGTCATGCCCCTCCTGATTTTATAAACTTCTATAAGGTCAGCCCTCAGCCTCTGATGCTCCAGGGATAATAGCCCCAGCCTATTCAGACTCTCCCTATAGCTCAAACCCTGCAATCCTGGCTACATCTTTGTAAATCTTTTCGGCACCCTCCTTGTATGAAATTGGACCAGACTTGGACTTGCTGCGTGGTACCTGATTGATTGGCATTCACCCTCATCCCACTAAACACTCATCCCCTTTTCACTTTCACACATCATTTTTTTCAAATACATGCAGTGTTTCTGTCACATAAGCTGCTGACACAGATTGCCACTCTGCCACTGCATAGCACTGTGTTATGCACTGACATGTCCATTCCCCCTCCGACTGATACATTTTACTTTTCAATGCTCTCTAATGCTACAAGCATCAAGGGGGGAGGCGATGGCCTAGTGGTATTATCGCTGGACTGATAATCTAGAGACCTAGATTATGTTCCAGGAACCCTGGTTCAAATCCCGCCACAGCAGTTGGTGGAATTTAAATTCAATAAATATCTGGCATTACAAATCTAATGATGACTGTGAATCCATTATCGATTGTTGGGTAAAACCCACCTGATTCACTAATGTTCTTTAAAGGAAGGAAACTGCCATCCTTACCTGGTCTGATCTACATGTGATTCTGGACCCACGGAAAGGTGGCTGACTCTTAACTGCCCTCTGGGCAATTAGGGATGGGCAATAAATGCTGCCTAGGCAGCGACAGCCTCATCCCGTGAATGAATAAAGAGGAACAAAAGCTGCTTGCCTTTCCTCTGGACTCTGAGAATGATTATATCAAACTTGGTCTGAGGTCAGAGACAGAAGGGTGTGACTGTGAGTAAGGCAGGTATTTGGAACCAGAATGTAGGTTTGGAAGAGCCTGTGCCCTTGTCCAATAAGTATGAGGTTCTGTTTCCTGGTGTGGATGAGGGCAGAGACAGAGGAGGAATGATGAGCAAACTGACCAACAGTATCATGGTACAAAGTGCCATTCAAGTGTGGGGAGAAAAGAAAAATGTTTTTGAAATGGGGGAATAACAGAGTAAGGGGACTAACTATTGTTCTCTGCAGCAAAAAGAGTCCTGAAGGCTATGCTGCTTTGCTTGTGCCATGGTTCAGGAATTCTATTTTGGGACAGGAAGGATGCAGTTGTCATGGTCCATGTTAGTACTTATGAGATTACTGGAACTGGAAAAGAGATTCAGCTCAGGAATTATGAGCAACTCTGGGCTAAATTAAAAAGCAGACCCTCAAAGGTATCATCCCAAGATTAAAGCCTGAGCCACATGCAACATGGTGTTGGTTATACCAGAAACTCAGCAATTTGAAACATTTAACATTTCAGTTCCTTGCAAACACTGGTCAAATTGTATCCCTTGCTTTGCGAATGAATAACGTTGAACACCAGAAACAACTGCCTTGCCTTTCAATACAACTTAGCATCAGTTCCAGTCTCAGGTTTACAATGAATTGAACATCCACTCAGCATCTTTCACTACCTGACCTACAGAAGTATGTTTCAGGCAAAGCAGTTTGTGCAAAAGGTACAAAATTACCTTACATTCTTATCCTGAAATAAATCACACCACAATGGTTAGGTTTAGCAACAACATTCCTCCAAGGAATTGCATGAGAGTCATACTTGACAAATCCACTTGAACTTTTTGAGGCCATAACTAGTGGAGTGGATAAGGGTGATCCAGCAGATGTGATTATTGGACTATCAGAAGGCTTTCAACAAGGCCCCACGTATGAGATTAGCATGTACAATTAAATCACATGGGTTTGGGAGTAGGGTACTGAGGACTGGTTGGCAGACAATAAAACAAACAGCAGAAAGAAAGGGGTAGAGCTGGATGAACACAGCAGGCTAAGCAGCATCGTAGGAGCAGAAAGGCTGACGTTTCGGGCCTAGACCCTTCTCGGATTCTCCAGCATCTGCAGTTCCTGCTATCAGCAGAAAGGAAGGGGTCTTTTTCCAAGTGGCAGGCAGTGCTTGGAACCCAGCTATTCACAATATATAGATTAATTTCGATAAGGGAACTAAATACAGTACCTCCAAGTTTGCAGATGATACAAAGCTGGGTGGGAGAACTGCAAGGAGGATGCAGAGATGCTTCAGTGTGATTTAGATAGGCTGGGTGAGTGTGCAAATGCATGGCAGATGCAGTATAATTTGGATAAATGTGAAATTACCCACTTTGGTAGCAAATACAGGAAGTTAGAACTTTGGCTGGATGGCAATACATAGGGAAAGGGAAAGGTACAACAACATCTGGGTGTCCTTGTACACCAGTCATTAAAAATAAGCATGCAGGTGCAGCAGTGATGAAGAAGACAGATGCAGTGGCACCTTCATAGCGAGAAGATTCAAGTACGGGAGCAGGGATGTTTTGTATGGGGTCTTGGTGAGAGAAAAAAAAACTCGATATTGTGCTGATCCCATCAAACTGTGCTGTCCCTGTTGAAAGTGTCAGTGACAACAGTAACATCTTTCAGTAACCAGCAGCGTGGAAAAATCAGAGATTTCTTTGAGAATACAAATTAATGAAACATGTGGAGTGCAACACAATTGTTGGTAAACTAGGAATGACATGAATTAGGCAGGCTCTTGCAGGATCAGTAAAGGCAACTCACAATGAATAGGTAACACTATATATAAATGATGAGTTTGTGATTTGCATTTTGCATATTGCATATGTTTTATTTACAGAATTAAGTGGATAGATATGAACATAAACAATTCAGACAGGATAAGAAATTCTGGTTTCAGTTAATCATTTTATTAAATCTATTTACAAAGGAAATCCTAAATCACAAATACCAGTCAGCCACAGAAATCTTGAAGTATCTAAGCAAGATTGTTCCCTCTATGCTATATCTTTCACAGATGGGGAAATGTTAAAACACATTGCTGGGATATTCTAATTAACCGCTTAGGGTTAAAAACAAACATATCAGATCATCAGCCATTAAAAGGACCTGCTCAATGATCGCCAAAGATATTTCAGTCCCTATAATTACAGCTGAATGACACAGGGAGATGGTACAGGAGAATCAGGACTGGCAGCTTAATTAGAGCAGCACACTTTCCAAGCTGATAAAATAAATATTCATGAATATCACAATTAATCAAAAATAGATCCAACACCCATCACCATTAACTACAAGACTGCACAGGAGTGAAGATGACAGCTTTAGTCAACCAAGCCTAGGAGGTTTCACAGCCTACAATATCCCTTCAACCTATAAAACAAGAACAGATCAGCAATGGTGCATAAAGTTTGTTTTATAAAAAAAAGTCAATGTCCTGTTTAGAAACTGAAAGAGCTGTTAGTTCTGTATCCCCTGTCTGATACATCACCAGATCCTCAAATTAATAGTCTCACACAGGATTAGGTTTAGTTAGAAGCAATGAAACCTCTCCCATCCACCAACATTCAGACCCAATACCAATGCACAATAAACCAAACAGCCAGGCAACTGCTGTTCCTTGCATGCAACATGCAGCTCAGAGTCCCAACAGTTATATTGCAATCCTGGAAAATATCAACATACATCTTGACACATTTGGTGATTCATACTGTGACTTTTCACCAGTCTGCTGTACCAGTTAGTTCTGTCAAAGTTGAAAACCTCTGGCGTTTTCAAGAACCCCTTTATCCATGGTCAAGAATTTTCAAGACCAGTGGTTGGTCCAAATGCATGACCATACCAATGGGGTTGTGCGCTCCAGTCTTGGAACACAGGGGCATTCTCCTGATTTTCTACACTTTAATTCAGAATTAGATTGAGTCAGCCACAACCACAATGTGCGTGATTTCCTGAGGTCAGCTTTAAGTGTGCAGGAGGCCATAACCCCACATTTTCTGTAGCATGTGAGAGAGAGACGGTGAGGAACAACTGACAGATGTGAACTAACCTGTTAGCTGTGAAGATACCATAACTCTTTACAAACATCCTGAACAAAAAATATAAAATAAACTTTGTTCTTCCAATTTTTCCTGATATACTGCATAATAATCTAGAGCAAGGTAAGTTAGACTGATAACTAAAGTTCCGGCAATTTGAAAAGAAAATTGCAGTAGTTACTAATCACATTTGCAACATGTCAGAGTTAGATTTGGTAAGTACTGGTTTAATCATTGAAAATATTTACGCGCAATTTGAAAATTACATCAGTACATTTTATAAATCAGGCCATCACTATGCAACCTCATGTACCGGGAGAAATAGGACTTGTGCATTTCACAATAATCTGTCCAAAGTGAAAGTGAAAATTCCCAGTTGTTAGAAAGGGAAAAATTTAATGCTGCAAACTTATTTTCTTGTCCCACAGTAACAGTCTTCATTAAAGAGGCAAGGTTTTAAACAGAACAGCTTGTTTGTGCTTCTACAGTGAGCAATGTGCATGTGGGTGGAAATCTCTCAACTAGTCCCATCAGTTGCTCCAATGGATGAGCATTGCTGGGTTGGAGAATAATACTAACCATCATTCTTACTGGTTCAGGAGAATTAAATCATCAGGAAAATGCTACATAGCAAAAAAAAAGTTTTTAAATATTGTACGAGACAGAGCCACATGAGTCAGAAGTCTAACACAGCTTGAGCTCCCAGCTTTTTGAATGCCCTTTCATCCTTTACTACAATCTTATGTCGATTGTTCAAGATCAGTAGAGCTCCCAATATGAAGTCTTGCTGGAGGGAATTAGAACAGGGGAGTCTGCCTGAATCATCCAAAATATTACAGCTAGGAGTGCTCTTTCAATGCTTCTTCCTTGGTTTCTGGTTTCTTCCAGAGAGGCTTCTGGTGAGAGCAGAGACTTTCAAAGCATTACCATGATGCACCAGATTCAGAGTCCAGGCTGCACTGTGATTAAACCTGTTAACAAAAAGGCTTAGCCTACAACTTTCCCACCTCAACACAAGAATGCACTGAGCTTCACATGCATAATACATTGTTCACAACACAGGTTTACAGATATTGCTTTCATTGAGCCTCAGTCATAGAAGGAATTTCCAAACTCTGAACATTTCACCAAACTGAATTTGTTAGAAGACCGAAAGGTTAAAACAAAAACTAGCCACTGAAATTGCCCAGAGTCCATACAATTCTGTTTGCAGACCCGAAATGCAATGTCCAGTGCAAAAGCTGGTCCTCTCTCATCCAACTCTGACCTCAAATCGCTGACATTAATCGAAAGACAAGTCAAAATCCCCTGATAATCATTTTCCTATTGGTTACAATTGTAGATGAAGTTATTTTAGGAAGTGCCACATTTCCAGTGCCGTGTTGTTTCCGATTAGTGATTCTGCTGCAAAAGACGGCACACCAGACTTTCAGGACATCCAAGGACAGAAAAATCGGGCAAGGAGCAAATCAGTTGGGCTAGATTCCACAGCCACCCTCTAGGTAACCTACAGCCTAGCACAGCATGGAGATTACAGCTTGTAATACTCACAAGCATAACACTTGTGTATGGCAATCCCCAGTCTGCTGTTTTATGGATGGTGGACTTATTTAAAATTTACCAGATTTTGTTAAAATAGTGAACAAGTCAATGGTAGAGGAACATGTTAAGTGCTTGTTTGCTAATTGTCAGCAACAGACATTTCCAGCCTGCTGTTTGTGTCCCACCTACTGCAGGTGAAGTTACAGGTTCACTATAAATTGGTTTCATCCCAAGAGAAATCATTCATATTCTTCAGAACTTTTCTGACCAGTTTCTCTAACTCCTTACGAGCTCGCTGCTCCTCGTCCAGGGAACGTCTCATCTTCTTATTTTCCTGCAGCACAAAATACAGAACGAAAGATTAACAGAGACATTGCAGAGTAAATATTAACAGGGAATTATCTGGCACAGCCCAGGATCCAGGATCGGGGGATGTGACAAAAGTCCGTAGGTGTAGGCAGGGGTCTCAACACTGGTCCAATTCACTGAAGTCTCTGTTCATTCGACTCCAGGTGGTTTCATTTTTGGAAGTTATTTTTAGCTAATTCTTTGAAATAGATTGATAAAACTCACAACTTCAGGATTTCCCAAAGCGATCCACAGCCAATAGTGTAATTTTTTAAAGTGCAGCCTTTGTTTCAATGTAGGAATCACTGCAGCTAATTTGCGCACAGCAAGATCACACAAACAGAAGTGTGAGGGGATGGAAGGAATGTGGAGATACAGCATAAGATAAATGGCACATACAAAATAGGAGAAGTTGACCTCTTGACCTCTCCAGCCTGGTCTGCTATTCAATAAGACCATGATTGATCTGCACGTGTTTTGAATTCCAAATTCCCATTTGCCCCTGATCACCCTCAATTTCCTTACCTAACGGGAACCTATCCACTTCTTCCTATTGTTATTCCACCTCTACCACACAATACTTAGAGAAAATAAAAATCTCATCTCTACTGCTCCCCTAAAGAGTGTTCAGGCCTCTGTTCTTGCACTTTACTCATAAAAGCATGGCATACAGAAACAAGGAGTTTAATGCTGAAATTTCTGGGCCTATACTTGAAGGATGAGACACAGTTCAGAGAATGCAGAAAAGGTTGGCAAGAATGGTTCCAGAAGTGAAACACTTCAGTTATGAGACATGGAGACTGTTGTCCTTGGATAGCAGAGGGTTCTGAGGAAACTGAACAGCACATTTCAAGTTCATGAGGGGACAGAAAAGATTGCAGGGAGGAAAAACTGTTCCCATTCATTAAAGGATCAAGGATGAGGGGGCACAGGTATAAGATAATTTGTAAAAGAACCAAATATAATGCAAGAAAAAGGTTTTCACAGAGTGATGAGTTAGGGTTTAGAACACTTGGCAAGAAGTGTGATGGAGGTAGATTCACTTGAAGAATTCATAAGGGCATTACATGAGTTATAACACTCATTGAGAGAGCCTGTGAAGATACAATGAGCCAACTGTCTCCACGTGCACTGCAACAATTCAGCAACAACACGCAATCTGTTCTGGTGAAATTGGTGGAGGGTGGAACGCTGCCCAGGACTCCAATGAGAACTCTCCTACTTCTTTTCAGAATAGAGTTGTAGGATCTTTTATATTCATCTCATAATCCCAATAGGGCTTTGGTTTATCATTTCACCCAATGACCCACTGACAGTGCAGCGCTCCCTCAGTACTGACCCTCTGACAGTGCAGCGCTCCCTCAGTACTGACCCTCTGACAGTGCAGCGCTCCCTCAGTACTGACCCTCTGACAGTGCAGCGCTCCCTCAGTACTGACCCTCTGACAGTGCTAACATAGAACATAGAACATAGAACATTTCGGCGCAGTACAGGCCCTTCAGCCCTTGATGTTGCGCCGATCTGTGAAACCAATCTGAAGTCCATCTAACCTACACTATTCCATTATCATCCACATGTTTGTCCAATGACCACTTAAATGTCCTTAAAGTTGGCGAGACTACTACTGTTGCAGGCAGGGCATTCCACGCCCTTACTACTCTCCGAGTAAAGAACCTACCTCTGACATCTGTCCTATATCTATCACCCTTCAATTTAAAGCTATGTCCGCTCATGCTAGCCATCACCATCCGAGGAAAAAGGCTCTCGCTGTCCACCCTATCTAATCCTCTGATCATCTCGTATGTCTCTATTAAGTCACCTCTTAACCTTCTTCTCTCTAACGAAAACAGCCTCAAGTCCCTCAGCCTTTCCTCATAAGATCTTCCCTCCATACCAGGCAATATCCTGCTGCACTCTCTCAGTACTGACCCTCTGACAGTGTAGTGGTGACTCGGTCGCACACCTGGAGAGTTTGGCTGGATTATGTGCTCAAGTCTCTGTGGTTGGGCTTGAACCCATGACCTTTTAACACAGGAACAAAAGTGCCATTGATGGGGATGAGCCTTGTCTCAGTTCTGGTGTCAGCACAGTTTTTGCAAAATGAGTAAAGTATGCTACTTAGACATACAGTAACTTGATGTATGCCATCACCTTAATCCTTCCACATCTTGTCCCTTTACTCCTTCCCCTGCCCACCTGCCTGTTGCCATTGTTCATGTGGAGATGACATGAAGGAATCCAGTGCAATATCTGCAAGCTCCTGTTGATGATGGCTTTACCTGCTTTAGCTCCAGCACCTCATCCTTCAATGCATAAACAGTGTCCACGAGGCTCCTGTTTGAAAAGGAAATTGTAAGTGACAATGGAACAGGTAAAAATGTGACTCTGCTGAGGCGATAAGTTAGAAGTTAGAGAAATTTGGGTGACTGCTTTGTGAAACACCTCCTACTCGTCCAGAAATTCCGGATTCCTGTAACTTTAATTCTTCACCCCATTCCCACATTGACCTCTCTGTACTCAGCCTCTTGCACTGTTCCAATGAAGCTCAACAAAAACTCAAGGAACAGCACTTCATCTTTTCGTCAAGCATTACTAGGAACAGCATTAAGGTCATCATTTCAAATGATAAACATGGTTTCCATTTATCCAGACGGCATCTATTGCTAATGAATCTGTTACCATTTGAACCTTCTCTACACCTATGTTTCAGTTCCTTCTTGAGTCTTTTTTTTCACTTTCCGATATTCTATGTGCTTAAAGCCAGCAAAATTTTCCAACATATTGAATGAATCCTAAATAGTTGTACTACAATCCATTAATATTAAAGGGATACACCTGTACATTAACAGGAACAGGAACTTAAACCTCAGAGGGCAGAAGTTATATTGTTCCAGCTTGGATAAGCAATGTCAATGAATAACAACACGGGAGAGATAGGTCAGCACCTTACATTGTGTCTGCAGCAGTGCTCCAAACTCTGGTACAGTCACAGAAATTCCAGCGTATGTTTTCATGCAACCATTAAATGATGCCATATTACCTACTAGAGTTCACCATTCTAGTTATCAGTACGACTCTGCTGAAAGACCAGCTATTTCCTGTGCCTTTTGACCCTTGTGTACCTATCCAGAATGATACAGTATATTGGATACAGGGCACAGAAACAGACCATTCAATCCAACCAGTCTATGCAGGTGCTGATGCTTCATTGGAGCTTGTTCCCATCTCTTTTCATCTAAATCTGCCTACATCATCTCGATTCCCTTCTCCGTCAGAAGCTTGTCTAACCTCTGCTTAAATGCATCTACAGTATTCACTCGGAGCACTCATTGTGGTAGCAAGTTCCACATTCATGCCACACTTTGTGTGAAGCAGTTTCTTCTGAATTCACTATTGGATTCTCTGGTGAATATCATGCACGGACTATATCTAGTAAAGCTCGTCCTCACAAGAGAATCTAGTCTCTATGTATCCACTCTATAAAAACCTTTCATAATTTTAGAGATTTCTATTAGGTCACTCCCAAGTTTTCTTTCAAGAGAACAGGTCTAGCCTGTCAATCCTTCCATTATATGTCCACACTTGAAGCATCTCCATGGTAGTATCTGATGCATACATGTTTCAGAGTGGGCACCCATGGGGCTTCTGAAAGTTCTGTTTACAGGGGCCACCCTCTCTCCTTCGGGATACATCCCACACATTGGACTGGGAGATCTACTGCTGTTCAACCAGCTAAAGGATCAGTGGTTAGCCACCCCCATCTCACTCTTTGTACAACAAAGAGCCGGTACCCACGGCTTGTTCACTTGCATTCAATAACTTGCACAAATGTTTAAACTGAGCAGTACAACATACAGGACATGGAATCACTGCAGATTTCTCTTACTTCTCTTCGATGATCGTTTGTCCATTGCTGTTGGTTTCTTCAACAATTATTTTCTCTTCTTCTGGTAACAGAACCTGGGGAGCAGATTCTTTACGATATGCTGTAACACAGAAGATTCAGAGATTGAAATTACTATCCCAATGGAGCAATGATCAGGACTGGTACACAGAAAGATCAGGCAATACAAGGGTGCTACTTTGATTAAAATTATTAGCATTCTGTATTTGTGCGTGTTACACTGTGTCTGGATCTGTAAGCAGTTGAGTACGTGCATTTATGTGGGCACATGTCAGTGCGTACGTGTCATCTGGTCTATGTAAGTGTTCGTTCACGTGTGTTTATGCATATCAGTGAACATGTTTCTGTATCAATCCTTATGTTTGCATGTGTAGTGCATGAGTTTTTGACATGTTAGTCTGTGCTAATCCATGCTTGTGTCTGTGCATGTCAGCAGGTGCCAGTCTGTGTCTGTAAACATTATCTTTATCATTATTCCATGCCTGTAAAAACATAAAGCTTCAACAGAGCAGTTCAACCATCAGCTGTGATGATCATACTACAGCGTGTAGAGAAACTTTAGCCCATTCAGAAATATCAACATTCTGCCTTTAATGGAACTGCCTCATTTTTGTTACAAGTGTAAATACTTCAGACCAACCTTTTGATATATCTAAAACTGTGCACCAGTGTCAACTTAAATATTTGAACACATTGCAATGAAGCTGAAAATAATATGTTTTCATGGGCATGGACTGGAGAATGATCCACGCGTGAGAGGTTCTGGAAAAGGTCCCGCAAAAGGTCCCACATTTCGATGTTAGTTTTCTTTAGTAGTGTTAATATTTTTGCCATTTTCTGAATCTGTGAATCATTTTTAAGATTTCCAACAAATTCCTTATGTTTATTAGGAACCTTAGTAATATTAAAAAAATTGGTTTTAAATGGCAACATTCACAACTTAAGGACGCCCAAACAACAAATATTAAACTATTGAAATGTAATTTCTGTGGTGGGGGACAAAATGTAAAGCAGTGAAATCCCATAAATAGCAATTAAAGGCAAAATATTCCAGATCTTGGAAATCTCAAATAAAAACAACATCCTTGAGAAACTCAGCTGGCCTGGCAGCATCTGTGGAGAGAATTAACATTTCTGAAGAAGAGTCATACTGGACTCAAGGCATTAATTCTGTTTCTCCCCCCACAGATCCTACCACACCTGCCGAGTTCCCATGAACAGGAAACTGTTTTTAGTTGGCTGGCATTACAGGAAGACCACTGTTCCTCCTTTTTCCCCAAAGGAATGGTGGCTACAGGATCTTCTACACCCGTGAGGTGCGGGGGCAGATGTGTTGCCAGTTTAACACTTCAGCCTTGAGCGTTAAGAAGGTGCAGCTGAGGATTTTATGAAGCGAAGGATGCAAATTTGGAGAGAATGGTGTAAATGAGAAGATGTCCAGTTTAAGGATTGCATGAATTTCTCTTTCAGTAGTAGGCTTCCTCCAAGGCCACCTTGATGTAGCTTCTTTGTAAGAAACATTTATGACACAGACAACACACAATCACAAATGTACAGTCTACAGCTTGATGGTATTGATCGACTATGAACTTCCAAGCAGCCGAAGCATATGGTCAACAAACCAATAACGGGTTCACTCATATCTACGTGACATTCATTGGACCAGAGTCCAGCTCATCAGCCATAACTGCAGAGGACAGCCTTGTGCTCTGGGACCTGACCTCTGACTTGCCTCCTTGACCCTTGGAGCAATGGCACACACCAGCTCAAACTGACATTGAGATAATTGGATATTGAGGATACTAGCAGGGGGAGCCATGTGCCTCTCATGCTGCCAGAAAGGAGGCGGTGGTATATGGCAATCAAGTAATCAAGGACCCTAGCTTAACGTTCTGGGGGCACAATTTCAAATCACCACTGTAGATGGAGAAATTTCAATTCAATAAAATTTGGGAAAAAAAAGTTCGCCTAGTGACAAGCATGGAACCACCGGAATCATAGAATCCCTACAGAGTAGAAGCAAGCCATTTGGCCCATTGAGTCCACACTGACCCTCTGAAGAACATCCCACCTAGACCCATCCCCCCTACCTCATCCGTGTAACCCTGCATATCCCATGGCTAATCCACCTAGCCTGCACATCCCTGGACAGTGAGAGATAACCAGAGCACCCGGAGGAAACCCACACAGACACAGGCAGAATGTGCAAACTCCACACAGGCAGTCACCAGAGACTGGAATCGAACCCAGGTCCCTGGCACTGTGAGGCAGCAGTGCTAACCACTGAACCACAATGCCACCTTATTGATTGTTGTTTGTTAATGTGCTTTAAGGAAGAAAATCTGGTGTCCTTACCTATGACTCCAGGCCCACAGCTATGTGGCTGACTCATAACCGCCCTCTGAGCAATTAGGGATGAGCAACAAATGCTGGCCTAGCCAGTGATGTCCACATCCTGTGAACAATTAAAAGAAAAAGACAAGCCTGGTATACTCCCTGTGCTGCTTTATTGTTCCCAAAAAGAGAAGGCAGAGGGGGATTCCCAATAGGAAACTCACTGGGCCCTGTACAAATTGGGGCAAATATTATCCCCATTGCAAACGGCACAAAGACAGATGGGTTCACACGAGCAAACTAATCTCCAACTCCAACAAAGTCAATTTCACTTGAATTTAGTGAGAACGAAAGAGGCAGAAATGAAACTGGGACATAAGATGTCACGTAGTTGCAAAACAGTGTCTCAACCCTTCTCCCTTCTGGAGATGAATTGTTCCACACATGACTGTCTCTGATCAATTTAAACATCATGTCTAAGAAAACAGCAGCCAAACTCACTGCCGTTGGAACATTTTTTACTGAAATTTCACATATGAGGCTATTAGCCCAAACTGTGTACTCAGTGTAAAGAAGTGCTGCTGAAATGGAGAAAAGGTGCCCATAAAATGGCAGTGAGCTCTACAATGTTGCTTTCCATCATCTCAACATCAGCTTGACTTTGGTGCCTACTACATCCATCTACCAATTGAAAAACTGAAAGATTGAAAAATTCTCACAGCAAGAAAAACAAACGGAAAGATGTAGGAAATATAAAACAAAATATAAATCTCTGCATAGGAAGTGAAGTAAATATTGGAACACTGACACAGAGTTAAGAGAAATATAAACATCACGACAATTTTGTTCTGATGTTGGTATTTCTCCTTTAACTCTATGTTATTAAAAAAAAATTAAAAATCCACAATTTTTTAAAATGTTCTTCAGCAGGAAAATGACTTCACACTGGTAACAGAAATGTCAGGGCCAAAGAGGCTGCTCATATGTAATTATGAGTAATCTTTAAACTTAAAAACACAATTGTATCTGAATGAAGAAGGCTAAGATCCCCATTGTTCCTATCAGAGAAATTAATGTGCAAATAATTGGAGGTTAATTATAATTCTCTTATTTCTAATTATTCTAACTGTATTGACTACAACAATACATCCTGTGGAGGAACAAGGTATGGGAACTCAACTCCCAGTTTTCTCTGTTTAACTGTACATGCGTGGACACCAGACACAATAATACATTGAATGTGATGATTATTACCACCTCAAATTATGGGACATTAATTTAAACACAAAATTTAAACTACTAGCTGCAAAAACACACAATGTCTATCTCATAAGACTGGTTGAAGCAATATTTCATGATTTGTCCTTTTGATTTGGGTGACAAAACCTTGGTTACGTCAGGTGCCCATCAGTGTTGGGTGTCCTCCTTGAGCCATTTATCTCCCATGGTGGTGTGTACAATTTGTTTCCTGTCACTTGGCTAACTTCATATCCTTGCTGCCTCTGTCCCATTTATCCCATGGGCTTAAATTTTGCTAACAAATTCATTTGTCTAAGGCTGATCTAGATCATTAGTGTTCTTGATGTCATATCTCACTGCAAGATAAGCTTCCAATCACAAATTCATGCCATCAGAGTACAGCAATGGAAATGGACAGTCTTGATTACCCAATTTGGCCCAAATCTCAGCTCATTTGCTGCTGAAACTCTCATCCACACCTTCATTACCTTCAAACTTGACTAATTCAACATGCATCCTAAAAGAGAGCTCATCCAAAACTCAGCTTTGTCAGAATACTTTTTGCACCATGTCCCTACTCATCAGCTCAATGTTCATGGACCTACATTGTCTCCCCACAAATGATTGAAGCCTCAACTGGAATTGAGATTTGTCATGACTAATGTCTACCTGTTAACTAATTAATAAAAGATTTAAACTGCCTAACACAAGTTACACAGTCCAGTTAAGTATCCAATCGAATCCTTCAAAGTGCAAGGAAGATCAGTGGGAATATAAAATAAACAGATATATCTGTTGAGAAAGATTTTGTCCCCACCTCTTTAAATCAAGTCTCATTACATGAGCAGTTTGAAATTGCTCTCAATAACAATTGCTCTGATGGGTGTATCTAGCCTGTAATTACAGGCAGAAGTGAGAGTGACTGACTTTGCTTATGACTTCAGTCTCCATGGCTTGATATTCAAAATCCACACAAAACATGGAAACTCTTGTACAGAATAGAAACCTACTTGAAACTGTGAAATTCCTGAATGAAACATTAACGCAGAATTTCCAAAGAAAGTACTGATTGTTTATTTTCCCACAATAGCAACAAATTCAAAGAAGAGGATCAATCTAATATTTAGCTTTGTCTTTAGAAAACAATCTTTTCTTTTTTTGTCCATCTGAGAAGCTGTCTGGAAGGATGTGGACTGTAAATGCAGTACAGAATTACATCACGTAAGAAAATTAAAATTTTGAACTTAAACTGATGATGCCAAGAATCGTTACAGTCAATTCAATACAGCATGCTACTCATCAACTGAGAACAAGACTTGCATCTCACAGCCAGAATAGACTTGCTCCCATTACAATGGTTTGTTCTAAGAGTTTCAATGACTTGAGATAAAATTAAAAAGGTATTAAAAGATATAGTGGCTTTTGGGACGAAAAACTCCAACAGAGACATGTTGAATGTTTTGTTTTTATTCTGGATCATTTTATCAGCAATGCCTGTTTGTCAGACCA